ATAATATGAATAAAATGTAAGAACCTTTTTGAGTAAAGGTCAATTAAATCAATTTTGACTCTGTCAAAGTCAACCACCCAAAAATATGATGTCGGAAAAAGTATTACAAATAAATATAAAAATTATATCGTTGGATAGAGTTTAAATGTACGATCACAACGGTGCAAACGGATTTCAATTCGGAGAAAGTTGGACCAAAAAATGTTCCCTGACTGGGACCAAATTAGTCCCAATCAGGGACTTGCGTTTGGAATTGTAGAGATAGGCCGTCCGCTCCACTGAGACGCCAAAACAAGAGAATGGAGTCATCACCGTGTCTTCTTCCTCTTCCTTCTCCTATAAAAGACTACCACAACTCTCTCCATTCTTCACCATTTCTTACAAGGTTTCATTCTATTCTGTTGCTGGGAGTGAGGAGAACGTGGTGGTGCTGTCGTATTGGTGTGAGGTCGCCGGAGTTGAGAGCTATCGTCGCCGAAAGTTTCGCCGGAAAATATTCAAAACCTTCATTTACCTTCGAGGTAAGCCCGTAGATATATCTAGTGACTAGAATGTTCGTATAGATCGTTTCTACGTTCATAAACGGTCGTTTGGTTGAGTTTTGTGTTTGACATGCTTGAAGAACCAAGAATCATAAACCATGAAATTGATGTTAAAAGTATGAATTAATGATTCCAAAATGATCTATGAACCTTGGAGAACATCTCTATATAGTTTAGTTGAAGTTCGATAACTAAAAACCGTATTTCTGAAATTGGACCCGAACGAAGAAGACGATGAACAGTGGCTGAAAAGCCACTGTCTGGATCGATCCAGGGGCTTGGATCGATCCCCTGGGAGTAAATTTTCATTTTATGGATCGATCCAGAGGGCTGGATCGATCCCCCGAAGTTCTGATCCAAAAATTTGCCCGAAATTGCTATTTTTGAGCTCCAAAATCCTATTTTTGATACCAATTGATTATGATTATTTTAAGGATGATTCTTTACAATAAAAATGATGTTTTTAACAAATAAAAATGTTATGTGATGCATGACGGTAAGTTCGGGTGTTAACACTTGAAACTAGACCGCTAATTGTTATTGCTTTAAATGTTATGTTGATTGATGATTATGATTAATGAACCTATTGATTAAAAATGAATATGTTGATAAATATGGTAATGATTATTGGTTGGTGATTATGATGATTAAATCTTGATAAATGTTTTGATTAAAAATGGTAATTATGAATGATTAAATCATAATGAATATATTGATGATTGTGAAAATAATATGTATTGTCAAGGGTATCTAGAAGACCTCTAAGATATACCCATATTAATGTTGATTTGAAAGGTATCAAGAAGACCTCTAAGATACACCTATTTAAGTTAGGCCTTGCGGGTATGAACCCCGGTGGCTAGGGTTAAAACGTACGTACGGGATCCAAGAACCAAACTTGAGTACCTACTCGTTTGGGGGTACCACCCACCCAACAGTGAACACTACGCTGTCGGTTTTTGGTTGGCCTTAAGTGAAGGTAAGTTTAAGATTTCCAAAACCCTTTTATCTTAAACTAGGCCTAGCTTAAGGATTATTAGGAGTACTCTGTATACTGGAATATAGTTTAATTAGTTAAACTAGAATTCATTTAAGGGTTACAAATATTAAAATGATTGGCCTTAGACTAAGAATAGTTTAAGGATATTGTTGAATGACAAATGAAGAACATACATGTTGAACGATTGAATAATAAATGTTGAAAATTGAATATTGATTATTGAATATCTGAATGAACATTATGTGCATGATATCAAATGATTTGATTGTGAATTGAGATACAATTTATATGGATGTTCGACGCATTAGATATGCTTACTCAGCTTTACCGCTGAGCGTGTAGTATATTTTATTTTCTACACGCAGGTTAATAGAAAGAATGATGTGACGTAATCCTGGAGGAGGACGGAGGCGAGATTGTCGGAATGGATGTGATGGTTTTGAATTAAAGAACATAATAAATTATGTTGTAATTATGATTTGGTAAAGCTTCCGCAATATTGAAAACTCCGTACTGTTTATATTATGAAAAATATTATTATGATAAATAAAAGTGTTTGAAATGTTTTAAATTTTTACGATTACCAAGTTAATACTTTAGTCCGAAAGGGGCTGCAGACCTGGACGGATTAAGGTGTTACAAGGTCTCTTAGTGTGAGGTCTCAACGTGAACCAATTATGTTGTCGTGTGATGACATTTCAAATGTGGATCAAAGTGAATTCCTAGATGCTAATAGGACAAGGCTGATAGCGACACTGAAGAATACTAACTATAAAATTATGATGAATTTTAAAAGCAACCTGATATATGATTTGTATTGAAACATGATGGTTTGTATGTAGTGTATGCCACTGTTGAGGCGGTGAGCAATTCTGGAGATTGGTTTTATTTAGCTTGCAAGTGTAATAGAGCTGTGAGAGCTGATGGTAACATGTACTATTGCATGCAGTGCGCACGTCGTGTTATGAATGTCACCCCAAGGTTTATTTTAGCTTTCCTTATATCCCTCTTTCCGTGCATGTTTATTTAGAATTAAGTCAAATGGTAAATTTGTTTTTATAGATATGTGATCAAGCTTGCGGTAAAGGATGATTCCGGAACAACTACGTTCGTGCTGTTTGACCAAGAAGCCTCTTCAATTTTAAATATCTCGTGCGCCCAATTGTTGGAAAAGACAGATGCAGTACATACTTTTAGCTATAAAAATATTAAATTCATCTTTTGGATATTATAATTATATAATCATTCATAAGCTGATGTTTTTTATTGTACAATTATGCTAGGATGGAAGTACTGAAAATCCAACAGAGTTTGTCAACAATGAATGAGGATCAGAGAAAAATATACGATGAAATAATAGAGGTTGTGGAAGCTGCGAGATGAGGTTTTTATTTTGTGTATGGTTATGCTAGAACGGGAAAAAGTTTTCTTTGGAAATCATTATCTGCTGCGCTTAGATCGAATGGTAAGATTGTTTTAAATGTTGCATCCAGTGGAATTGCAGCTTTGCTATTACCGGGAGGTAGGACAGCGCATTCAAAATTATCGATCCCTTTAGCGCTAATTGAATGTTCAACATGTGCGATCAAACAAGGAAGCCCAAAAGCAGAATTAATTCAACAAGCAAGTCTTATAATATGGGATGAAGCGTGTATGATGAATAGATTTGCTTTTGAGGCATTAGATCGCAGAATTAATTCAACAAGCAAGTCTTATATTATGCGTTTCTCTAATAAAAATGCTGCAAATGAACCTTTCGGTGGAAAAAAGATTGTGCTAGGGGGTGACTTTCGTCAAATACTTCCAGTTATACCAAGAGCTTCAAGAGAAGAAATTGTGAAAGCTACCGTGAATTCATCGAGTTTGTGGTCCTATTGTAAAGTATTTACATTGACTAAGAATATGAGATTGCATTTATCTTCATCTAGCCATGCAGACAGTGACACACAACTTTTTTCTGAGTGGATAATCAAGATTGGAGATGGACATCTCGGCGTGGTTAATGATGGAATCGGTGAAATTGAAATTCCACCTAAATTCTTGATCTTGAACTCGAGTTCTCCACTTCAGGGTATAGTGGAATTCACGTATCCAGACTTATTGGAAAATATGAAGGATTATACTTTTTTTTTTTATGGATAGAGCTTTATTGGCATCCACACTTGAAGTTGTTGAGATGATCAATGATTTTGTTTTGTCTCTTATTCCTAGAGATGGAAAGGAGTACTTGAGCTCTGATTCTTCGTGTCAAGCAGATTCAGATATAGGCATAGATGGTGATTGGATAACGACTGAGTTCTTGAACGATATCAAGTCTTCTGGGATTCCAAACCACAGAATTGTTTTGAAGAAAGGAGTACCAATTATGTTATTAAGAAACATTGATCAAACATCTGGTCTGTGTAATGGTACAAAATTAATAGTTGAAGAGTTGCGAAGGAACGTTATCGGTGCAATTGTTGTATCAGGAAACAATGCCAGCGAGAAAGTTTACATACCAAGAGTGAATTTGGTACCGTCAGATCCTAGATTACCGTTTAAGTTTCAAAGAAGGCAGTTTCCAATATCTTTATGTTTTGGCATCACAATCAATAAGAGTCAAGGCCAAACATTATCATTTGTTGGATTCTTGACCAAATCGGTATTCACTCACGGTCAACTTTATGTTGCAGTTTCATGAGTGAAAACTAAGAAAGGATTGAAAATGTTGGTTTTAGATGACAACAGTACCCATGCAATTGCACGAAGAATGTGGTTTACCCTGAAGTTTTCTAAAAAACTTGGATTTAATTGATACGTTTATACGTTCTTTTCAATTTTTTATATACATAAATTTAAGTTAGCATACTCTGTTTATGTCGTATCTAACATTCTATATAATATTTACATTTATTTTTTTATTATTTACTAAAAAAAATTAGCAGAGTTAAAAATAACATACGTTCGACCCCGTGCGTTGCACGGGTTAAATACTAGTAAAGTATAAATGGTGGAGTTCTAGTGACACCAGAGTTCGGTGCCACTAGTGGTGCCAATGGGATTTTGGAGCACCTCCGGTGTCTCGTTCGCAAAATTGACGGTTCTTACCCCCTTAACCCACCCCCTAAACCCCCCACCTCCACCCTAGTTGCATAATAGCCACACATTTTGTGGAGGGCTTACGGTAGGGTTGGGGTGGGGGTGCAGGGGCGGGGGTAGAGTGAGAGGTTTAGGGGGTGAGTTAGAGGGAGTATGAACTGTTAATTTTGCAAACGGAGCACCGGAAATGCCCTAAAATGCCAGTGGCACCAGAGTGGCACCGTACTCCAGTATCACTTGCTTTTGAAGTGATTTTTTAATATGTAAAATTTATCTTTTACTTTTATTTCAATTCATAAATAAAATAATTTATCTTTTAATTTAATTTGGGACACTATTTGTTATAGTCAGCCACTCGCACTCAACCCTAGTTGTTTCCCATAAACCCTGCCTGCCTAAACCCTTGCCGGGAATTCTTGCTGCCGTCGAACTCCAAGGCAATGGAAAATGAGCGACAACTTCCTGAAACGGTTTCCTTCAACGAGAAATCAGACATATGCCAACAGCTATTGGACCGGTATGGAAAGTCGTCGGCGGCTCAGCACCGACACTTATGCGCCTCTGCCGCCGCCGCCCGATCCATCATCCAATCTGTGTCTCTTCCTCTTACTCCTTTTTCATACTTTGCCGCCACTGTGTCCACTCTCGCTAATTCTTCCGATTTAGATTCGGACGCCTTAGCTGCGCTTTCCTCGCTTCTGTCCATTATTCTTCCTTTGGTCCCGGAAAAGGCTATAACCCCTCCCAAAGCCACCGAAGCCCTTGAAATGCTGGCAGTGGTGCTGGAGAAGCTCCCGCGGGATGATGCAGTGGTGGGGAGTTCAAGCGTTAGGGCATTGGTAAAGTGCCTTGGAATCTTGGTGGGGTTTTGTGATCTGGAGGATTGGGAGTCGGTTAAATTAGGTCTGCGGACCCTTTTGAAGTTCTCAATTGATAGGCGTCCAAAGGTCCTTCTCTGTTCTCTTAAATCCAGAACTTCTGAATAATTTATGTGTTCATTTCTTGTATGCTAACGAATTTGTGTTTTTTTGGTGCACAACATTACTAACTTTAATTCTTGGGGAGCGAATTTTATTGCTATCTTTCATATAGTTTGGTTAGGAGGGCTTCACTGAACTCTAGAAATAACTTGGTGTGATAAAAATATAATTGCCTAGATGTGTGTTAACGGCAGTTATTTCAGCTAATGATTATTTTTTTCTGGGTGTAAATCAAGTTGTACATGGACCCCCTTTTCAAACTACACAACAAAAATTGTCTATGTCTTGTCTTTGTAATTTTGAAAATGGATGTTGGTGCACATGTTGGTGCACACATAGTTTATTCTTTTTTCTTAAGGTGCCTTTATCACTTGTCATGGTTTGGAAATTGGATTGTTATACTTTGGTTTCGGCATTCCACCCACCAAGCTGCTGTCTTGCTAATTGTTATTCCTATGTTTTTTTGACAAGTTTTCTTGATTTATTTAGTTTTAACTATTAATTTTGATTTCTTGGGAATTTATAGTTTGTCAGTAGTGATATGAGTAATTGTATGAATATTTAGGGACTGGGTTTTGATTTTCTTACTGTGTGATGCATTAACTAATTTTCTGTTGTGTGCCCATCCCGTTTCAGGTGAGGAAATGCGCTCATGAGTGTCTTTTAACAGTTATGAAGTCAGTTCAGTCTTCTTTTGTGATTGAAAAGGCTAGCAAATCAATACACTCTTTTATAGAAGGCCACCTGTCTCTGGCAATAGAAATGACTTCTCCAGAGGCTGCTGATGGATTTAAGCATGATTCCCTTTCAAAACATGAACATCAAGAAGTGTATCACACATTAAACTTGATTAAAACTCTTGCCCCATACCTTTCTGTAAAAGTGTGTCAAAAAATCTTGACACATATGTTGAAGCTGATGAGCTCCCATAACTCAGATTTGACAAGACATGTTTTTGAAAATATTGGAGTGATTTTAGACGCTCCAAAAGTTAAACTGGTAGCTCTAGATTCAGATAATATTTTGAAGTTCCTTGTTTCATACATGTCTTCCTCGGAGAACACTACCGACCGTAAACTGGTTGCTGCAACTTTGACAGAAAAAGTTATGAAGAAGCTTCATGATTGTGCAGTAAATGGATGTTCTAGGCATCTCCTTTTAGTTATTGGCCCGATAACAGGTATAGCTCTCATTCCATTGTATATGTGCTCTGCTCTTGTGTGAAAGATCAATAAGAGTTTGTTTCTACTTGGATTTGAGGATATGTGTATTTCACACTCTATTGTCAGTCTATGCAGCATTTTTTTTTAAAATTCTGCGCACATCATTTACATGTTGATTTGCCCTGTTCTTCAGATTTTCTCACATATGAAGCCACAGCCCTGCCAGCTTCACTTATCTTGAAACGGTTGATCCAACTTCACGTTGATAAAGAAATAATACCGTCTACCAAAAAGCAGACGGTAGATTGCAACAATACCAACGATCCTGAATTTGCAGCTATGGAATCTATTTGTGCTGTCTTTCACAATATTCTTAGGAGTTCTGATGGAATCCCTAATGAATATATTTTCCAGATCGTATCTATTTTGTTTCTTAAACTTGGTAATTTGACACCTATTTTCTGTAGAGTAACATGTTAATTGACAAAGCATTTACCATTTGGCTTAAAGTGTACTATTTAGAAAACAATTATCATTTGTCATTAGAAAAAGAAATAGTTTGAAGCTAACAATTATGCGTATTCAGTCACTGTTTTAGGAAGAACCTAACTCTATGAGACCTAGGTCGTACACAATGCCTCAAAATAAAAGATGTGTAGTACTTTAAAATCACAGGGATAAGTTTTTTATTATTTATTTGTTATGCACATTTCAGGCGAGGGATCGTACCACTTTATGAAACATATACTACTGCAACTCGCAGATTGGATGAATATTTCTGGTGGTGTCAAGGGTACTTCCGTCTCAAAACACGTAAGATCTAAAGTTATCCTGTATTTTCTTTATCTGCATGGAAGATGTTAAAGGGACTGCCCATTAATTGAAGATTTATCAACTATTTATCCTCTTCCTTTATTTATTCCTGTTATAGGTTTTAGATTGTTAAAGTTCAATAATTGTGTAGAATGTCAGCCTACATGAATATCAACCTAACACATGTTTTAAATTCTTACCTATGATTATGCAAGGCCAGCAAATTTTTTAACTCTGCAGCATAATTTAAAAAAGCATTTGCCTCACTTGCCTAAGGCACCTCAAGTCATCGCCAAAAATAAGCCAATCACTCGCTTGTGGGGATCACTTTTCTCGCATTGTGGTAATTAAAAACTTGGCCAAAAAAAATGTGGGCCTATGTGATAGCCTCTTTTGCCTTCCATGATCCTTTACATTACCCTAGCGATCAAAGCTATGTAGCACTGAAGCGGAGAAGGAGACGAAATGCAGACGCCGAAACGGCTATTTTGAAAAAAATAGTGAGACAAAACGCTGGGGAGACGCCACACACACACACACACACACACACAGACACGGAGTTTCTCCTCTCCATTCTCACACACACACTTTTTATCCCTCATAAGTTTCTCCACTTTTCTTTTTATATACGCAGTATGTAGCACCGTAGGTGAGAGAGTGAAGTCTTTTATTTAGGTCATGTATCTCTACATTGGGAAAGAAGCCCAAGAATTAGATCTGGAAAAATAAACCCACTACCCAGTGGCCATCTATAATTCCTAGGATAAAGAAAATAAGTTGCAACATGTGAAGTACAAGGCAAGGTTTTTCAACATGTGCCAACTAACAGAAGAGTCAAAGCTCATCAATTTCATCTAGAGGTGAAAGGAAAGAAAATTCAAAAACCAAAGAGTAGGGTTACACTTTTTCGTAAGCCAAAACACCCTACCATTGCAGCTAACCGCTTCAATTCCTTCCATCCAACAAGTAATTTCCTAACGTGATGACAAGGAAATTTCAATTGCAACTCTAAGTCGGTGCCTGATAGTGAATGCAATCGTGTTGTCTTCACAGTGCACCTCCACGATCTTGACTAGAACATCTCTCGTGGATGGTAATCGGCAACTGCAATATGAAAGAATGATTGATATTGGTCGCCACTATCAAACCTCTCCATTCTCACCTATATATTTGGATATAGAAGGAGCCATGATTCTTATGTCAAGTGCTGATGAGAATGTCTCCAATCTGGGGTTACAAAACTCCTATATATGTGTCAACACCATCGTGGAAAGTTCTACATCATCACTGATAAAGCTTCAAAAACCTTTAGAATAGTGGTGTCATGCATCAATTTATCCTCGAAGGTGTTATGTCATGTTAGGACCCTTTTATTCAATGCACCACAGCTTTGATTGGAGTTTTTTCATTATATTGTCTTCCTACCACCTCTACCCAAACCTCCAGATATACCGAGAAGCTATTGACTAGATTTTGCTTTGAGGACAAGGCAAATATTGAAGGAAGGGATAATGATAGAGTTTATGTTAATAATATTTATGATAGAGTCAATTATGGTCATTTGTTTAACATGTCAAAAACTTTATTTTATATATGTTAGCTACTGAGTAGTAAATAATGTGTTAGTGGGCCTAAATTTTAAGAGTGGTTGCTAAGCAATGTGGTAGCGAGCCTAAAGCCTAGGAATAGTTACTAGCTAATGTGTTAGTGGGCCTAAATTCTAGGAATTGGTAGTTATTTGGCTTCTATGAATATAGACTCATTATTTGTAAAAGTTATCCAGAGATTAGTTCAATATTTATTATTGGAGATTCTCATTGGCTTTATTACTTATATGAGTTTAAGATTCTTGCTCATATGTTGATAAAGATTTTCATTCATCTTTATTATGTTATGGAGTAAGATCCTGATTTCATAATCTGATGGAGACTTTCCTTTATTTATTCCCCTGCCACTCTTGAATTCTATCACACACACATACTCTGTCCCAAAATTAACTTCTCACTTTCATTTTTGAGTTGTCCCAAACTAAACTTCCCGCTTTTAAGGAGTGGATTGGGTGAACTACATTAATTCTCTTTCCTCTGCATAAATCTCAACCAGACAATTCCACTTTTCATTATATTTGGTGAAAATTCAAATGAGAAGTTTAATTTGGGTCGGTGGGAGTATATATATACTCCGTCCACAAATAAACTTTCCGTTCACTATTCAGAGGGTCAAACTTTATTCACTTTGTTGGCCTATTTTCGTTACCTATTTGAGAAAATAATATAGTAATGTCATCTCTAGTTTTGTAGATCTTTTGATATAGTTTTTTAATATGTAATTTTTATTTTAAAATTTCATACCATTTTTCATATAACATGATTTAAAAATAACTTCAGTCAAACATTGTAACGCGCAATGGGAAGTTTATTTGTGGACAGAGGGAGTATATATAAGTGTGTGTGTGTATAGCATGTCTAAATTGACAGTTTGACACCACTCCAATTGGTGTCAATTGGCGACTCCAGTTCAATCGGAGCACCTAAGGTGCTCCATTCGTAAAATTGATGGTTCATAGCCCCCTAACCTCTCTCCATAAACCCCCAGCCCAGCCCCACCCCTACCCTCCACACTAGTTCCTTTATATATATATATATATATATATATATATATATATATATATATATAGACACACACACAATTATACATAGATATAAGTTTTCCTCGATCACCATTTAGTCCTCACCTCTCGCCTTAAATTACTGCCTCTCGCCTCCCTTTCCCCTTTCAAAACTATGCTCTGCTGTATCATACCTTCAGTTGAATCTACTAAATAATTATTTATCTGTCATCAAGCATCTAAGGATCTTACTGAGAGAGCTATCAGCTATGGCTAATGGACAAGTTTTACTTGTTTCAATATTCTTTTTCTCAGATAGTGAGATTTTGTAGATTTCATCAGTGTATATAGATCCTCTAGGTTCTTGTTTGACATTTGTTTCTCTTTCTTTCTTTGGGATATCCAGCTTCAAGAATGTATTGGATCTGCCACTATTGCTATGGGTCCAGATAAATTACTTGCCCTTCTGCCAATCTCCCTTGACGCCAAGGATTATTCTTGCAGAAACACTTGGCTCATACCTATTCTACGTAAATATGCTGTTTATTCATCTCTGGAGTTCTTTATGAAGCACATTGTGCCGCTTGCAGAATCTTTCCAACAAGCATCCTTCAAAGGTATCTGAAATGTTTAAATTACCCATTCATTTTTATGGTTATAATCTAGGCTTTGTTATTCTCTTTCAAGTCCAGTTGTTTGGATTGCAATTATTCATTTTCACTAGCTTGGTTCATTATCACTTTTTTCATTGTTCTATCTGATCATTCTGATGCATTAACACAACACCGATAAGATCTTTTCACATTTATCCGGAATTTGATCTCTGCGATTTGCCAGTTAAAAAGTCAGTAATTCGAAGAGAACTGCAGGCTTATGCCCATGACTGCTGGGGCTTGTTGCCTACCTTCTGTCACGGTCCAACAGATATTTGCCAGAATTTCAGTGCTTTGTCTAAAATTTTGATTTCACATCTCAAGAAGGATTTCTTTATGCTCGAAATAATTGCTACATCACTGAAGGTTGGTCAATGCATGTATATATTGGTTATTGTTCCCAACACTCACATGTCCTTCAGGTTTCTTTGTCTATCCATGCAGAACCTGGTGAATCATAGCAAGAATCTAGTTGCAAAGTCTGATATCTTTGAATCAATTGGAGTCCTTGTTAATGATGATTTTGCAAAGAATCTAAAAAAGAAGAGTTCATATTCGAGAAAGACAGCACAAAAGAATATTAAGGCTATTTCTTCTTGCTCCGAGGGATTGCTTCAGGCTTTAACGAATGTCTCAACAGAGTCATATCCTGAGACACATGAATATCTGAAGGTCATCATTTATATCTTGCTTTTTCGTCACTTTCTTTTCATGTGATAGAACTTCTATTGCGGCTTAGTTAATGCATTTCTAGTTGAATTTGTAGAATATGCTAGAAACTTACCACTAGGACTACATTGCATGTGTTTGAGAAGGTTGAAAAATTAGATTTTCAGCAATTAATTATAAGTGTTGATTATTGCTATAATTGACTATAATCAGAAATGTTTTTGGGTAGACTTTGCTGAAAAGTGGTTTTAAAATAATTAGATTTGTTCTGGTACAGCAGACAATTAGCTTTTGTTAAGTAATATAGGCATGAAAACAGCTTAGAGATAAGAGCTGTTGAAAAATAAGCACAAGCTACAAATTTCCAACTTCTCTAAAATATTTCAAAATAATTTTTCTTCAGTCATAATCTATCACCCCAAAGACCCTAACATGATGTTCTTTTTTAATAGTGAAATTTGCACTAAATAGGACTAAAACATAAGTTATTTCCCAATGTAGGACTTAAACTTTTTTATTCCCTAAATAGTACTTAATAATGTCTAGTGGGAGGAATAATGTCCAGTGATGGTGGACATTTACTTGAATAATGACTAATGGATAATGACCAATGATCCTACATTGGAAAATAAAAACATATGGGCCTATATTGAGAAAATCATTATGTTTTAGTCCTATTTAGGTAAATTCCCCTTTTTAATATACAGATGAAATTCTTCAAAATTATGATCCAAAACGTACTCATCAATCCCCTGACATCACCTTCTAGAAAACTTACACAACTCATATGACATCGTCCTTCTATAACCATTAGAATTAGCTAGATATAGAGCATGTATACTAATTTGTCATTAAATTAGTTAATACAATTCTTCTTAGTAATTTAGTGCGAAATATTTTACCCTCTCTGCTTCTTTAGTTGTTTCTCTCTTTACATTTGGACCTAGATTTTTGAATGTGTAACCTATGTACTTGTGATGTACTGATGTAGAATAAAAACAAGAAGAATATATTGAAAACTTGTATTCTTGAGTGCATTATTACTCAGCATAGTTAGGGAGTCGATACATATAATTAGTATTGAGCTAAACACCTAAATAATAAACACCAAGTCCTTAACCCCTTTTTGTGTTTTGGTACATAAATACTCTGGTTGTTCCGTGGCCTTCACATATCTAGTAAAATTCATGCATTTCTGTATCTTTTTTAATTTTTAGGACAAAATGACAGTTGACATCAGCATATATTGTCCTCTTATGAGAGACTAGATTAGATGCAATGTTTATTGCAGTTTGATTATCACACCACAACTTAACATGCATTGGTGTCTTGAATACAATTTAATTCAATAGTCGCTGTATCCAAATTGTTTGACATGCCGATTGTGCCATAGCACAGATTTTTATTTTACCCTAGATTGAGATGCCACATTTGTTTCTTATTTATCATCATTCATCCTTGGATCCAGTCTAATCACAATACAAATTTATTAAAAGGCTTTGTTCGTTCTTTTTAAGCTGTCTTAATCTCTGTAAGTGTTAGCCTTTTTTTTATTATTTTCAAACACTTGTTACTGATATTTATACACACACAAGGGCATTATTGTACTTCTAATACACTGCAATCTATAAGTTTGCTGTACTTAATTCCTTTTGTTGTACTTGATTTCTTAAATGTATTCTTGTTCCATTGTTCTATCCAACTCAAAGAATATTCAATCTATAAGAGTCTTGCCCCATTCTGCATCTATATTGAAAACCTTTTACCTCCTACAACAAAAAAAATTAATATCAGGAGGCTATTGAATGCTTGGCATCCATCTCCGATTCAGAAACTACTAAAAGAATAGTCATATCTTTACTGGAGAAGTTTGGGTTAGCAAATGGCTTCGATGCATATGAAAAGCATTTAGATGATTCTGAGTGTAACAAACCTAACAAGAGGGACGATTATGCTACCTCTGTTCCAGAAGATGCAAAGAGGTAACAAACAATCATGTACCTATTTTAACTAGCGAAATTTAATTTTTATTAGTTTTCTCATGGTTCTTAAGTTCTTTTAGTATTTGCTAAGGGATATTCCTTTTTTATGATTTCATATTTTATTTTGTGCTGGTTCAAGTTTAAAGATCAACACAGATCTTGTCAGTTTTATTGCAAACAGCACTTCCAATGTTTTTGTTTCTTTACACTAGTTTCTTTTTCAAAATCATCACCACTGTGGCACACTGTACTTCAAATAACTTTGAGAGTTTGAGTTATTTGTTTCTTTCATACCTATAATCAAATAAGTAGTGCTTCAGTAGTGCAGTTGCACCTAGGCCTGGAAGTCAAATGTAGACCCGTTGAAGTAAGTAAATCAGTTGTAGGCTTGTAGCTTCCAACTTTTTTATATTGTTGCTTAGACATATTTGGAACACTAATCAGTGGTACAATATAATGTTTTATGATACGACGCAACAACCCTGATCCCTTGATTAATCTTTTGAAAATGCTTTGAAAATAAGCTCTTAACTATTTGTTTCATTTTTACTTGTATCCTTATATTCTGATGTAAGATATAAATATTATGTGAATATTTCCTTATTGAGGGGATAAAGACTGATGGTGCTAGAGCTCGCATCATGTATCACTGGAGGAGTTAATGAGGATCTCATTTGCACCTTTTTTAGCATTACTAAACGATGTTTGGAGGTACTTCATTTCTCTGACAAATGACAATAGATGTTATTGGAGTAGTTTATTTCACTATCACATTATCACTAATCACTATCTTTTCTGGAATTTTCCTTTTAGGTGAATGATGAGATTTTCCAGGCTGAGGCATACAACACCCTTAGTAGGATGCTAGAGGTATGTGTATGGTGACTGTTTATATATTTTTGGGGGTGGGGATATGTTCTTATCAGGACTGGGGTCTCATATCATAGCTTACTATTTTCATGGTATCATGTCAGAGACATCATTGGTTCCGTTGTTCACATTTTGTTCAATCATTGGAGCTACTGACTGCCTTTAAAACTCCAAGTGACATTAAATCAATTACCAGCCGATTTTCCTGCTTCAAAACCTTGCTTATTCATGCAATCAAGGTAACACACACTATTTTTATTAGTTACTACCTCTGTCCCAGAGTATTCGTCCAGTTTGACTTTTTTGAGTCAAACTGGACAAACTTTGAGCCTTAATTAAGTAAAAACTATAATGTATATTAGTATAAAAATAATTTAAATATATTTAACTTGTTTAGAACTTTCAAAGATTTATTCTATTGTATTAATATGCAATACAAATTGAGAGTAATTGATGAATAAAGTTTGTCCAATTTGATTCGAAAAAGTCAAACTGGACGAATACATTGGGACGAAGAGAGAATTTCCTATTGTAGCATGTTCTTCTGATAAAGTCTGTATTTGTGATGCATCTTGTAGGAAAACTTGGAGGAGGATAACCCACAAGCTTTTCTCATTCTCAATGAGATTATACTTGCATTAAAAGAAGTAAGAATCTCAAATGTAGTTAATAAGCCCAATGCTAAGTTATACCTTGCCCCTTGTTTAACACCTAATTTGAATTTGCACTGTTTTAGTATAGTAAAAGACGTGGTTTAAATTTGTTGATAAGTGATAAACAATGTCAACCACAATCCGTTCCTAAAAGAAAGTAGAGATAATTTTGGGACAAAAGAAGAATGAAGGCATCAAGATAGATGGAGTAGCACCGAATTCTGATCTGGTCAACATACTACTTAATTAAATGTAGTATGAATTTATGACGTACATATAATTATATAGAGTAATGCTCTCATCACACATGCCTATCAGACACAAATAGACACAGATTATGTTAGATGTGGATGATCTGAGCCGCTCTATTCTGATCTGGTCAACACACTCAACCCCTCTAGAGGCTCAGATCATTCATTTCTGATATTATTGATTAGACACGTCTGATGAGATCACTAGTTTGGTTTCGTTAGATATATGGGGTGTTTATTTAGTTATTATGGTGTTATATCAAATTGTCGTTAAACATGTATTGCATGTCTTTTATGTTCCATGATTTTAAAGCTGATTTTTACAATTTAACTCTAGTAATGGAACATGATTTTAGAAACTATCTCAAATTACCGTTGATATGTACGTGTCATGATATTTCTCATCCATTTGGAATCAGCATATGATTATGGCAATGACGATAAGGTTATGACATTCCACACAGAAAGCATTCATCATAAACTTTTGCCACTATTGTTTTTCATGAATTTATTGTTATGATTTAGGCGATGATGGTTTATAGGATAACTATGGAATGGAATTGGATAAGTGGTAATAGGCGGATTGCGTACCATAAGCAAATGCAATGGGAGGGTCCGGGGAAGTTCCCATATCCAGCTAAACCGGGATCGAAACTTATTAAGCGGAAGTCGGGATGGACAATCCTTTCAGCGAAATGAAGAAAAATGCTATTAGATGGCGACTCTTATTTTAAATGCCATTTATTCTTTCAATCCTATGATGAAGAAAGCATTTATTTTTCTATATTTCATCCATAGTTCTTAAGGCATCGCCAAGCAGCTAAGGCACTTTGTGTTGAACGCCTCGCCGGGTGACTTGCCTAGAAACACTTAAGGCAATTAGGCGCTCACCTAAGTGTCGCCCTAATGGCCTTTTACCTTTCTCGATCATCTTTCTGGATTATTTTTCTTGATCTTTTGTGCCGATCATCTTCCTCAATCTTTTGTGCCAATCATCTTTCTCGATCTTTTGTGCCAATCATCTTTCTTGATCTTCTGTGCTGCAAACTTGGTGCACCCATCTTCCCTCGCTCAATCATTTGCGTCGATCTTCCCTCCGAATTGATTCATTGGTTGCTCTTCGCTATGGCTTTTGTGAGTCCTATCTGCTTTGGACTTCAGGTAATATACTACGAAGTAATATTTTTATCTTAATTAAGTATTATTTAAGCAATTTTTTTATGATATTTAATTTAGTTATTATTTATTGTTTGTGCAATGACTAGCCCATTTTTTATGACAAGCCTGTTCAGCATCTCTATAGTTTGCATCTCTCGGGCCACACATCTCTATTTATTACTCCCTCCGTCCCTCAATATTTGTCCACTTTCAAAGTGGCACAAATACCAAGGAGGAAGCATTAAAGCAGGCAAATGTCAAGAATACCCTTAGAGTTGAAAAAGTATAGGGGTTTCATGAACAGCCAAAAAGCAATACGGAGTACCTAGTAAAAAAATCCCATACTGCTTTTGCTTTTTGCAGTGCAACAAAAAAAAGATTTAAACTTAAATCAAGAAATAAATGTGAAAAATTTCATCTAATATAGGGACTCAGAAATGTGAAAATTTTCATCATTATCCCCAACTGCAAATTTTGGGTCATCAGACTCAGGAACATAGGTTCTCATCATTGCCTCAATCTCAATCCGAAACAATAATCTTAGCATCTTTGGAGTTCGGAAGAATATTTTTTGCATAATTAGACTCCGGCAAAGTCTTTTCCTCATCACCCCGTCCCCATCTTCATCAATCACTTGTCTGGCCTGCTTCATGATGTTCTTCGTTGGCAAAGACAGTTTTCAATCCCTACCAACGAAGGGCGACTCGTCTAGTTTGAAGACGATCAAACGATCATCATCGAAGCTTATCTTATCTTCAAACACAATTTAAGTGATTAAGGATTCAAATTAAAATACAGAGAATGAAACAAACCCGAATCCCATCCAAGATCTAGAGTTTTTTGGATGAAGGAGAAGCAGAGGAGACGGAGATTGAGGCGGAGTATTCTAGATGGAAAGAGAGTGAGAAGATATTAGGAACAAGGCGGGTGTGGAAATATAAATGAGAGTGGGTGGGAGAATATGAATGGACGGTGGGAGTAAGGGATAAAGGCATTTAATTAGAAGGGTAAAGTGGGGAATTAATTCAATTTTTTTGCTAAAAAAGGAAAGTGGACAAATATTGTGGGACGACCCAAAAAGGAATACTGGACGATTACTGAGGGACGGAGGGAGTATCTTTTATCCAGTGGTCACTGAGTTACAGAACGACGTGCGATGGTTAAGATTGATTCTCACTAGGTGCCTAAAGGAGTCAAGTTTCGGTACCTTCGTTCAATCATTCAAGCTAATGGGGAGATAGATGGGATGTTGCTCACCGTATTGAAGTTGCTTGGATAGTGGGGGTTCTCTATGATACAAAGATTTTGGCTAGGATGAAAGAGAGGTTCTATCAGTCAGTTGTTAGATCAGCGATGCTGTACAACGCGATGTGCAACGTGGTTAAGGAAACTGAAAACCCACATTAGCAAACTACATGTAGCAGCATTGCAGATGTTATGGTAGATATGTGGGTAAACAAGGTTGGATAGGATTTAGAATGAGGTTAGTAGGAGATGAGTAAGAGTGACACGTGTGGAGGATAAGCTGAAGTAGAGCAGGTTGAGGTATATATATAATGCGTGTGTTCATGTGAGAATGATGCATGGTGGAAGATATGAGAATACATACGATCCATTGGATTTAAGATTTAAAGGCTATTAAAAAAACAAAAACCAAAAAAATTGTGGTGGCATTTTTGTAAATAAATCAAATCTTGCTGCCACTGCCAAAAGTGCACTACCTTATTTCGAAGCACCATGACGAACTAAAAAATGAATCATTCTCATTTCTCACTAGAAGGGTCATTCTCACTCGCCTAATTGTTGCCTAGTCGGTAGCCTAGTTTCCTAGGCAATTAGAAAGTACTCGGAGCCTCGCCCCGCCTAGCTGCCGTAACCTTGGACTAACCCCACTTGTGGGACTACATTGGGTAGGTTGTTATATTTAGTTTCTGTGGACTTCTATATGTTGTGTTTCATGACTGTCAAAATTGATATACTCCGTATTTAATTACAATTTACAACAGTGTATTGTTATTTTATATTGGCACATTGATTTCCTCACCTGTTTTTTTGTGCTTCACAAGTATTTGCTGCATTACCATGTCTTATTTCGTTTTTACACATGAATGATCCCTGTTCTCCTATGCATCAAGTTATAATGTAGCATTTGACATTGTTTTTTTATTTTAATATTTTCATTAATATAATCTGAGTAATGTCAATGTATCAACTGTGTGCAGTCTAACAACGAAGGAAGAAAAGCAGCCTACGATGTACTTACTGGAATATGTTCCTACATGCAAAACTCTTTGTCTGAAATGTCTCTGGAATCTTATAAAAATTTCATCACTATGGTAATAAATCATTGACTGCTTTGGATTTGAAATGTGGGAATATTAGAGTTTATTGCAAGTTTGTGTGGACATTAGCATATGGTTTTAGTTTGAATTTATGTCCAGAAAATGAGTCAAAATATTTTGTGAGAAGAAAACACTTCCTTTTTGTACTTAGAGATTCACTTGGCATTCAATAACATATGTGCATGTGTACCTGCAGCTAAGGGGTGGGTGCTTCTTTAATAACAAAAAGATAACATTTCTTAGAAATCTGTGACGGAATAAATTATTCTGCCTTGCTTCAAAGTTGCTCAATGGTGCAACCTTTGATATCGCAGGTCATGGGTTACCTTTCTGGTCCTCCTCAGATAAAAAGTGGTGCAATTTCTGCACTGTCTGTCTTGATTTACAATGATTCAGATATCTGCCAATTAGTGCCTGATCTGGTTCCTTCAGTTCTTGCTCTGCTGAAAAGTAAAAGTCTTGAAGTAATAAAGGTGAGTACATGTTGGCCTTCCACCATACACTATATCTCTTACTCCATGTGTGCTTGTGTCTGAAAGACGACTTTGGGCAGGCTGTCTTGGGCTTTGTGAAGGTATTAGTATCATGCCTTCAATCAACTAACCTGAACCTTTTTCTTCCTGACATTGTGAATGGAGTTCTACCATGGACCGCTACTTCCCGTCATCATTTTAGATCAAAGGTGTGCACTCTTTGCTTTATAAGTCCCAATGAACAGTATGAGTGGCATAGCGGGACCAAAACTCAACTTTTTTTCTAGCATGTCCCGCGCATCCCAGGATGTTAATGAAACCATTTTGCTGAAGCTCTCAATATTCTTCGACATGGTTTATATTTTCAGTATCATCAGTGTCACTCTTTTGATTTGCTTTTTTTTGGGGGGGGGCTCCAAAATTCAGGTCAGTGTTGTAATGGAGATCCTTGCAAGAAAATGTGGTACTGACACTATCAAGTCAATTGCACCTGAGAAGTACACAGACTTTCTCCAGAGTTTAACTGAGGCAATCTTTTCCTTTTCGATATCCATGCATTTTTTCTTATTACTGTTTCTGTAAAATGTGTGGGTCAACTGAAGGATGTTTTTTTATGCAGAACCGTTATAGAAAGAAGAGTGTTAAAGAAACTGCAGCCTCTACTTCTTTAAAGGGGTCTGCACCTCCCATCCCCAGACGTTAACCTAAAGCGTTGTTTATACTACTTATTACGGAGTAGCTTTTAAATTGATGACATGAAGATTATTATAGCATGAATGCTTGCTGATTGGTTTCATGGATCATAACAGTGGGGGCTGCGGAGATTCGGGTATTGTGCAAAACAGCAAAAAGAGGAAATGGCAAAGGAGGCAAAATGATGTCACTGGTAAGCATCACAACGGAGATGAAGGATCTTCCATTGGACCTAAAAGAAGGAAGAAGGCAGCTGCAGATCATTCTACCAGCCGCAAATGGGCATACACCGGTGGCAGTACTCCGACACAATCAGCAGAACGAAGAGGAAAACCGAGTTCTGGCAAACCTGGAAAGAGAAAGAGTGAGGATAAGAATCCCAGCAAGCAAAAAGGTGGTGCTAAAAGAGCTGGGCACAAGACAGTCCAGAAGAAACATGGCAGTAAAATGAATTAATCTCTGTTTTGATGAATATATCCATTTGATAAACTTGAAAAAGAAGATACTCCATACTAAATTATCCAATTATAGCAGGGAATGAGTAGTGATTTGGTGGTTCTAAGGTCTACATGTAATATAACCTACTCGCTTAGTTTTATTTGTTATCTAATAGTGATGTGGACTTACATAACTTTTATTCAGTGGGTTCGGAATACAAAAGTTTATGCATTTTAAATTCAGTTCACAAAATCAAGATATATCTAATGTTCACCAACGGAATCAGACTTATTGATTGCGATGTCTAAGCTTATTATCTCCACAAATTAGCAATATGTTGGAACATATTCTTGTCAAATTATAAAGGTATTATCATGAGTAGTCGCTAAATTTTGTAGAATTGTTCTCATTCCTTAGGGTTTGTTCATTTGGGTTAGAATAGTTAACTATCCACTTTATTTCAACTTATTTCAATTTCTTTCAACGACGACTATGATGAATATTTACAATAATAGCATATATCTAAATATATAACATAGTACCTCAAATGTGGATAAAGATGAATTTTTTTATTCAAAATTAGTTATCTTTCATATTTATTTGCGTGATTATTCAATTGAGTAATTTTTTAAAACTATTTTTTCCAACATTTCTAATTCTGTCAGTACTTATCTACTAG